TCTACAACTAAGAATAGAAAGATATCTTTATCAAACTTTACTCAATATCATCAAATGATAGGAAGACAAATTATTCATTAAATATAATATAATATTAATATTAAAATAAGGGATAGAAGAGTGAGTCATTTGCCTTGATTGCAAAACTTCAAAGCCAAAACAAGTGTTCATATGCATACTACTTTAGAGTTCCTTTTCATTTTTAAGATTTGGAACTCTTTTTATTAGTATGTGTTCATCTGTATGTGCAGAATATTGTAGAAGATGGATTCAAATATTAAACCCCTGGAATTAAAGTTACAAGTGTGTATCAGGTGCCAGATGTGGGTACTGGGACCTGAACAAGGGTCCACTGCAAGAACAGCAAGTGTTCTTAATCATGGAGTCATCTCTCCACTATCATGGTGTGACAGCTTTAAAAGCTGTGAAGAACAAAATATCAAAGGAAGGATAGAATTTTCAAGTTATTTGTCTTCTTGCCTCACCTGGCAAAATCAATGCAGGGCTTTATTTTGATTCTGTTCCCGTGCATACAGCCCTTTAATGTAAAACAGACTTAGTGGCAGCAGAGATGGGAAGCAGCTTGTCACATTGTATGTATAATCCCAAATCAGAAAGGCAAAAATGTCAGTTCTCAGCATGCTTCTCACTTTAGGCCAGGCACCTAATAGTGCTGGCCACATTTAAGTGCATCTTCCCGTCTCAATTAACCTAATTTAGACAATCCTTCATAGTCCCAGAGGGTAGTCCTAGGCAATTCCAGACCCAGTCAAGTTGACAGTGCTAAGCAACACACATGAATAGTTCCAATTCAAGGTTAATACAGACTTCAAATAATTATGGCCTTGCAGAAATGTCATACAGATTTTAATTTGATATTATTTTTTCTGGAGCATTGAAATAGCTACAAAGACTGTAATCTGAATATAAGTGTATTAAAATGTGTGTTTGTGTGTGTGTGTGGGGGGTATGTGTTTAGATTTTTTTCTGTATGTATGTCTATGTACTAGAAGAGAGCTAAAGAATCCCAGGAACTATAGTTACCATTGTAATCAATCATGTCTATGCTAAAAATCAAGCCCAGGTCTTCTGGAACAACAAGCTCAGATCTTCTAACCACTAGACCATCTGTCTGATCCCTATTTTCAATACTTAATATCTTTTTTCTGAGAGTTGATTAATAATTTCGTGGTATATTTTTATTCTATACAATGATTATAAGCTTGACTATATTCAATATCATGAACATTTACTATGTATTGTCAATTGATCAGATAATTCTCTGATTTCATCTTCAAATCTACATTTGCAACTTGTATATTTGTGTTAAAAAAAGACTATGGCTGAAATAATTCTATTATCTCTGAATCAAAAAGAATGATATTTCTTCACTGAATATGAATGTAAATGGAATCACACACATTTATGCATATGTACATTAATTCACACATATTATACATGTACATTCATCACAGTGTAAGTTAGCATGTTAGTGACATTTAAAGACACCTCAGTTTCTTCCACATCTTACATCACAGGAAAGTTAAGTGGTAATGTAATGGAGAAGCAAACAAGTGTTTGTTAAGCAGAATAATGTACCTGAAGGATCTTTACATCCTACTCTCCAGAGATTCATTATTTGGAGAGTGATGGAGTTACCTTTGGCCAGACATGTGACCTGAACACAGAGTTCCAGACACTGAAGGGGGAAAAAAACCTCCCAAGAGTAGGGATAGGAGTTCTCAATTGGGGGTGGTTTGTAGAGCTCTTTGTGCAAGGAGTTTCATAGGAATTGTGGCAGAACCTGGCCAAAGATTGAAAGGGTTATTAATTGAGATTTACTGATTCTTTGAACCAATCAGGGGAGCTCAACACTGTCAGTGCACAAACATGGGGATGATCATGTACTATTAATGCACTGTTCACTGTGGTATTGAAGATTCATCTTATACATCTCTGACCACTTCTTTCTTCACTGTTCACCTCAACTTTATCTCCCACCCATGAGTCATGTCTGACACTGTCACTGTAGATCTTAAAATTTTTGGTAATTACTCAGACTGAGTTCTGTCCTCACCAGAGTGAAACTTTCATCATGGGTCTCTTTCCTTTCTGTCTATAGAGAGCCTTCTCACTCTTCATCAGAACCTGTGAATACATTGGATGATATCATGCATAAAATTTGAAATAAGAGAGAGTTTTCTGTACTCTTCCAGTGGAGTCCTATATAGCTACAAGAATCCTTATGAAGAAAAGATAAGAGACTGAGAAATAGAAGGGACATGGACTGATATTGATGACTTTAAAGAGAAAAAGTGAAGGCTCTAGATGAGTGGGTTTTCCCTGCTGGTCTGGCCCCATCATCTCACCAGCTACAAATAACACTCAGTTGGCCATTTACTAGTGTTTCTTATTGGCTAGGTCTATCTTAAATATTATCCCATTTCTATTAATCAAAGTATTTCCACGAAGTATTATCTTACTTGAGAGAGGGGCTGGTGTTCTGCTATCTCTATTGGTCATGTTGAAACTCTTCCCTACTCCTTCCTCTTTCCTCCTAGTCACTTAGTCCTGTCTATCTTGCTATCCTATTGGCAAACAGTGCTTTATTCATTAACTGATAAGAGAAACATATTTACAGAATGGCATCTCCCAGCATGAAAGCACACGTTCATTTCTTAAACTGATGAAAACAGAATATTATATAGGATACTTAGAAGGAATAAATTCCCCTCACACCTTCTCTTCACTTATTGACTACAGTTCGTGGACTTCTGTAAACATACACACTTATTAACATATGGGATACCTATTTGTGGTCAAATTGTTTCATAGAGATTTGGAGGATGGGTGTCTCAAATTTTCACTTTGCTCTCTGCATATCAGTGCTTTTGTCCTTTATATTTCTTCGTTTTATCATTTGAGATTTTCATACATAAATAAAAATGTGTTTTGATCAAATAAACCTCCATTGACCCCTTCAATTTCTCATATATCTCCAATCAACATTTTTCCAACTTTATGTGATCTTTCAAAAATTATCAAATATACTTAGTGTTATGTGTATATATATATATATAGATGTGGGACCATATACTAGAGCCTCTCAGAGAGCTCATTCTTGAAGGAAATTAACTCCATTTGCCAACATCTATCACTTGCCAATAGTTTCTCAGCAAAAGCTCAGGAATTCATGAGCTCAACCCATAATGCACACTGGAATTTTGGATGGTTTGATCTTGTATAGATCTTGTGCTACAGTCCCTATAAGTTTATGTATGCAAAAGCACTGATATGTCCAGCAAATACTGCCTTGCTATGGTGATCTTTTGTCTCTGTTTTTGCAATCTATCCCTCTCTCTTCGAGGATGACCCCTGAGGCTGACTGATTGGACATATCCTGCCCATATGAAGGAAAGTAATCATCTTGATGTAGTCAAAAATCCTAATACTAATTTCATGCAGTCCCACACCCGCAGATGCTTCATCAAATGTCTGTGTTTTTGTTGGCACCATCCAGATGACATCTAATTAACTAGTACCTGATTGGAGAGATGGCTTAACATGTAATAGCACTTGTTCTGCAGAAGACCAGGGCTTAGTTTCTGGTATATACATGGTGGTTTAAAACCACCTGTACATCATTTCCAAGAGATATGGACTCTGAGATAACATCTTACACCTGTCTTTCTGCTATGAGTACTAGGGGGCACATGTGTGGTGCTTGCATACACACACACACACACACACACACACACACAGGCACATGCACACACACACAAATATATACATATATATACACACACACACACACACACACACACACACTCAGACATACAATAGACAAATGAAACATGATCAATTTATTAAAAATTATTATTTCAAGAATGGTAACTGTAGCATAACAGATTTTCACCTTTATTGTCATACATTATTACAAAATCCATAAAATGATATTTTTTGCTTTCATGTTTTTTCAATAATTTTTTTATTTAAATTTGAAACAAGCTTGTTTTACATGTCAATCCCAGTTCCCTCACCCTCTTGTCCTCCTCTGTTCCCCTCCACCAATGCCCATCCCATCCTCTTTCTGTTCCTGAGGGAGAGTGAGGTCTTCATGGGGAGTCTTCAAACTCTGTTGTATCATTTGGAGCAGTGTCCAGGCAACCCCAATGTGTCTACGCTGAGGGCATATCCCTCTATGTAGAATGGACTCCCAAAGTCCATTCTTATACTAGGGATATATAGTGATCCATTACCAGAGGCCCTGTAGACTGCCTAGTCCTTCTAACAAATAGCCACATTCAAAGAATCTAGAGTGGTCCTATTCTAGGTTCCCAGCTATCAAGTGCCTTGGGCAGCACTTGTAGTCACTAGGAAAGAATAGAAGCAAGAAAGAATAGAAGAGAGGACTCTATAGTGACACTGTATCCTGTCTTTTGCATCCTTAGTAACTTTATTCATTAACTTCTACTTTTCTCTAATTGTTGGCATTTTTAAAATCACATTTAAAGAAACTCACAGTTTTATACTCATAAAATGTAGTTTTCATCATGCCCCATTCCTTCTTATAGTTATGTCAGTCTTATACTGTCAAGACTACTGTTTCATGTACCATGATTTTGAAAATTTATAAATAATATCACTGCATTTCTCATTCATGATTCAGCAGGTTTTTGTTTATGGTTAGCATGGCCAGTATCTGGAAAAGCTTACTTCTATAAATGGTACCTCCTGAAACTGAAAGGTTTGTGTAAAGCAAGGGACACTGTCATAAAGATAAAATTGCAGCCTACAGAATGGGTTAGATCTTACCAACCTCATATCTGATAGATGGGTGATCTCCAAAATATATAAAGAACTCAAGAAACTAGATATCAAATTACCAAATGATCTAATTTTAAAAGGTGATACAGATCTAAACACAGTTTTTTTTTCAGTTTGCCAAGCTGTGACTGTTTATTAACTGACCATATTACAAAAATACTACAGGCAACACCTTAGTTCATCAGTCTAATCATGTTTATCTGGTCTTTCCTGTTGCCAGCATCGCCACCTTCCACAAAGTGAGTGGTCTTTTTCTTCATCTCGCCCCATGGAGAAGACAGTTTGAAAAGCCACAGGAAGTCGATGGCTTCCTTGAAGCATTTCCCCACTATGTAGATCTCATGGATCAGATCCTCCATGCAGATAATGCTGTATTTACCAAGAGATCGAGCAATCAAGGAATTGTCCTTCAAAGCAATTCTCTTCTTATTGATTTTTCCATAGCCATGCTTGTAGATGAGCTTGTTTACTGACTTCAGATTGGGGTACCCCCATGCAATGTATGGTTTCACGATCCTCAGCATGTTAAACAAAGCCTTGTTGAGCTTAACATAGGTGTCATTGAAGATCTGAGTAAGACAAAGCAGCTGCAACACCTTGAGGACCTTTGGGATTACACCATTGATACCTCAGATTTGAATGAGGAATGCCAGCTTGGGTTCTGCAGGCAGTAGACGTTTCCTGCTTTCCTTGCCATCCTAGTTATGCAAATCTCCGTCCAGTACATCTGCCTGTATTCCTTGTGATAATGCTTTTCCTTTTCATAGATGAGCTTCCTCCGTGCCTTCTGGAGTGTCTTCAGTGCAAACTTTTCCCGAAAGCGCTTCACCATCAGCTCCAGGAAATTCCTTCGTTTTTTTCTTAAGGGTTTCTGGCATAGCAGGAGCCTTCTTTTTCTTCTCAGGAGCAGCCTCCATGGCTCCTTTCAGTGGGGGAGGGGTGGGAAGAGAGAGCTACACAGACAGTTCTTAACAGAAGAATCTCAAATGGCTGAAGTACACTTATTTTGTTAAATATCCTTAGTCATCAGAAAAATGCAAATCAAGAAGACTCTGAGATACTATCTTGTACTTGTTTAAATAGTTAAGATAAAATCTATGATGACTACTTATGTTGGAGAAAAGGGGAACACTTCTCCACTGCTGCTGGGAGGACAAATTTGTACAGCCACTTTGGAAATCAGCAGCAGAACCTGGAAACAACCTCAATAGAAGAATGGAAAAGACACCATTCCTTAACACTGTCATTCAACATATGAATTCTGTACAGACTGAAATATTTGGAGCATAACACTCAGACTTTCCCAGTCATTGTATATCAGTATTTCTCGACTAAGTTTTACTTCTTGTCTTTTAATCTCCATCCATTCACTATGGAACCCTACAGTACCTTAGTGTCAACTTGATTTCCACCCCTAGGATATCGCCATAGCTATGACATTTTTGGTGACTAAAATCACCTTCCTGATTCTGCTTCTTCCCATTCCACAATTGAGACTACTCACTATGGTTTTCCAATAAATGCTGTTCACACTTGGCTTGATTTTCTATAATTGCCATTCTTTTTTCAGTTTAAAAGACTCACTTCTTCTATATAAAATTGCATTTCTAGTCTGTTACCCTAAATTTATTTTGTTTTATATTGTTTATTTCTTATAGCACCTGAATTCATTTACATCAGAGTTTCTTGTCTCTTCCTTTTTCTGAGGATGGTCCAGAGTATTCTTTAACAATTAAAACAGGTTAAATTTAATGGTTTGCTAGTAACAAGTGACTGTCCAGAAAACAAAACACAACAAATAACCTTAATGGAATCTTTTGTCAAATTTTAATATGTAAATATACTATATCAAATGAAAGATGCTGCAGATACATATATAACCTGTCAGTGACTGACTAGAGCACCACAATAAATTTCTAATTGTTTACTCTAGTGAGTTGAATTGCAACCTAAAACACATTCATGGATACAATGCAGTTTAGAATATAATCTTATTTGAAAATAGAGTTTTCGCAGATATGCTTTTTTAATGACTTTGAAAAAAATCCTCTTACATATTAGGGCAAACCTTAGACTCATTGGCTGGTATGTTCCAATGAGAGGATACATGAGACACAGAATAGAAAGGTCTATAACAGCAACTGAAGATCCTTTGCCAGAAGCCAAGGGACATATGGAGCCTCAAAAGCTGGAATAACTTCTGCTGTGGAGGCTTGAAGTGTGATTTGGTAAACCTTGATTTTCTTTCTTGACACTTTTAGGAAAGTGCCTTTCTATGTTTTATTGTGGTTAAATAAGGATCAGGCTAAACAAATAGGCCAAATAGATGTTTATTCAGGGAGAAATAACTTACAACCTAGACATATGAACACCAGCAATTTCCACCAGATGGTCTCCTGTCCGAGTCCTGCCAGCAAGAGCTTTTCCTGGCTCTTCCTCCGACCTCCTTCCACAGGTCACTTCTGCCCATGGCTCCACCCCAATGGGCGTGGTCATTGCCACAGAAGGACTATCTCATTACAATGTTTTAACAAGTTTTTTTTCTTTATTAGGAAATTGATATTAATATTGATATAATTACCAGAATAAGAAAACTTCTTCATGCTCCCACCACTTCTTCCTGGTGCTGTTTCCACTCTTTGTTTTTTGGAACCTCTAGGTTACTCTCATATTTTTGCATTGGTTAACTGTTCTTTCTCTTCCTTGTTTGTGCCATACTCTCATTCCTTTGAAGACATTGCCTACTGTCTCCCCCTCCACCGCCCCCAGGTCACTTTCTCAAATGCAATTTACCTTTCATGTCATTTTTGCTGGAGAGATAGGCTGAGTTCTTTGATGCTATATAAGATTTCCAATTCTTATAGCATTTCACACATATAATTTTGTATCTGTGTATTATAATTATTTATCTACTCTATAGTTTTTCTTAAATGTCTGGTTCTGTAGAACAGACTTTGCCCTAGATTTCATTGTCATGTGACATTTCTATGGGAGATGTGGCTAAACTCCTTTTTACCCACAGATGAGGCACTGAAGAAATACCAGAAGATAAATTTCACTGATGTCCAGCATGATGAGCCAATGAGATTTGGAAGGCTAATTGCAGGAACATGAATGGAATATGATTTTTATCAAGTACATGGCTCAAAGGCAGTAACACCACTGATAAGCCTATCCCAGTATAGAAAACAGCTTGTAGACATTTTATTTCTGGGATTCCATGGTCAAAGTCCACAAAAACTCTCCTCACACTGTCACTCTATTCTTGGCTATAAACATTGGATAGAGAGCTTTGAATTTTGTGCCTTTCTGAGCATCTAGTGCCTAGTAAAGCTTTTTCTAAGATTTATTTTTATTTTGAATTATGTGCATGAATGTATGTGTGCCCATTTTTTTGGTATATCCACAGAGTGTGCTTGTTTATCCAGAGCTCTATGATGTCAGATGTCTTAGATCTTGATTTGTAAGTGTCTGTGAGCCACCTGAACTAAATTCTGAGACTGAGATTCTGGTATTATGCAACCAAAGTATGATTTCTCAGCAAATGAGCTGTCCCTGCAGCCTTGATAAAATTTCTGACCTTCCTGAGGGTGAAGAACCTCCCTCCAGGAGGGAATATTTGAATCTAAGAAAAAAGGTACCAGGAAAATACTCTGTTGCTAGTGCCAGTCACAGTGAAGGACTAAGGATACTTGTTAAAAACTTAGTTGGCTACCACTGGAAATTAATTCACAACAGATCCTCAGAAAGTGGATAGTATAATAAAGCACTGGTATAGTTATAACACCCTCCCTAGATGACAACTTAAAATAAGTTTAAAATCCCAGATTATATGGATATATGTGATTCGATATGCAAGCAAAAAGAAATCATTTCTTGTGACAGACAAAACGGAAAATGAGGAGGGAAAGTTAAAGATTAAACTTTCAGGTGACTAATAACTATACAGGAGTGAGGACACGGACATATTTACTGTAATGATGTCCAATATCTCTGTGGTATCACTGGATAAAGGTAAATATTATGAAGAGATCACCAAAAGAATAGGTTCTTTAAATATTAAAATCAGAGAAAAATGGAATAAACTTGCTTCTGACAGTGTGTAGTCTCTCATTCAAGTGCAAAAATTAAGATTAATAACATTCATGGTATGTTATTCAACAAAACTTTGATGAGAAGATATACTTGCGATTCAATTTCAGTTTTTATCAAGGGTGAGAAGTATTGCAATTTTTTTTCGATTCATGCATCTGGCAATACTAGAGAATGCTTGCTCCTGATGAATCATTACTTAGGCACTTTAGAATCCTATAATCATTGGTGATAAGACAGTAATAACAAGCCAAAGAAATGTAGCTGATTAGTCCATTATATTGTTGCTATCAATTTTGACTGTGATCAAGTAGGACAATTCCAAAAGGGTGACATCATTGTCTCCTTTAATTCTATTTATCTTTCACTACAGAATCATCTTTTGTTTGGTATTGGGATATCTCATATTTTCAATTAAATTTTAAGTCTGTAATTCAGTCACATATATTTATGCTGTTATAATGGATAATGTTTACAAATGGTGAAATCCAGCACATGGTTTCCTTTCATTCTAGCCCTCATATGACTCTGGTATCAGTTTTTAAAAAAATTCTATTGTTTTCAAAAAACCATTGACTTCTCCAATATCTTGTTAATATAAAGAATGAAATAGTGTAAAGCACGAAAGATTTCCTTAAATGTATTGCTTGGATGTACATGAAACTTTGTAATCACCTCTCTGTCCATAAGAAGAACCTCTCAGAACATTTGTTTTCAGGTACCTGATCAGAAATAATAGTATTTGAAAGTAAAATCCAGGTCAATAAAACATAGAACTTTGCTGCTCAGTACTTAAAAAAGTGGTTCCTCAGCTGGTTGCAGCCACAGGAGGCACCAGAATTCAAGTGCAATCAGGCTAATAGAGACATCAGCTATGAAATAGAACTAAATTGAGGGTCAGGAATTAGACTTGACAGAAAGATAAATAATCCAGCAAGGAACACCAAAAGCAACACTGGCAGTTTCAGCTTTGCTTGGGGATTGCATAATATGAAAAAAATGTATAAATAAAATAATGTGAAATAAAATCAATTACATTTGGACTTGATAGCTTCTAAAGTGGAATACTAGCTGTGACTGAATCACTGAATGTGACAGCCCAGGTATCACTCGAAGAGTAGTTTTTTTTTTAATTAATTTAATTTATTATTTTACATGTCGATCCCAGTTCCCTCTACCTCCCTCCATCCCTCCCTCCCTTCGTTTTGCCCTCTCTGTCCCCTAACAAGCACCCTCCCCTCCCATTCCCCACCCCAATTCCACATGTAGGGCAATGCCATCCAGGAGGGGTCATGTAGATCTGTCAGGTCATTTGAAGTAGGGAATAGGACTTCTCTCCTCTCTCTAGGTTAAGGCAGTATCCCTCCATGGGGATGTGTTTGCAAGGTCCTTTTGTGCACCAGGGCTACATCCTGGCTCTACTGTCTGAGGTCCCTTAGACTACTCATTCCTTCTGGCTGAGTCCAATATTCAGGAGGGCCTGAGTCAGTCACACGCTGGATTCCCAGCTATCAGTCTGGGGGCACGTTAGCTCCTCCTTGTTCAGCTCAGTTATCTCTATGTGTTTCTGCAACCTGGTCTTGTCCTCTCAATCTGAATCTTGATTCTAGTTCGACTCAGTGTTTAGGTATAAGTATTTGCTCCTGTTTCCAACAGGTATTAGATGAGGGTTCCATGGATAATTTAGCTGTTGATCTCCCTATCCAGGAAGGGCATTTATGGTAGCCTTTCCATGGTTGC